CAGCTCAACTCATATCATTGTGGGAAAATTATACTACCAGTCCTTCATCACCTTACACGAAATAGGGTGAGTACATCTTAGATAAATTCAATGGAAACATAAGTTTCATTCATCTGATTGTGTGAAAATTCAATTGCCAGTCCTTCATCACTTCAGATGAAATAAGGTGATTTTATTTCATATAGTTGATCTACTGGTAATATCAAAAACTTCCTTTTAAAGGAAAAGCAAATCATGGAATGCATCAGTTAGATCACAAAGTTAAGTATCAGATTCGGTAGGGTTTTAGCTGGATACCTTTCATCGTTTAATGTTTTTTGGTAATTGCTCATTAATGATGGTTTCAGGTTTTGATTATGTCTGTTACATGATGAACAAAACCCTTGAACAGTTTCGTCGCATTCACAGAATATTGGACCTAGGTCTCCTTCACACAACGCAGCAGTCAGAAGTCTATTGCAATTCTCCTTCGGTATCAGATGAGGCCTATTTTTGAATCCCTCCTACCCGCATCTTCAAGCGAAATGAAATATATGCCACCATCAATCTATTAAGAGAGTCTTCGAATCTCAGCTTTTCTTCATATCTAAGATGATTAAGTCAAATTGCCTCTTTTTTAATTAATATTCTGGTTCCTGTTTACTTGGACGCTTAAATAAATTGGTAGTTAGCTCAAAAGCAGTAGAGGGTCCAATTATACTAGCAATCCACATTCTTGAATCGAAATTTTAACAAGATTTCAGGATAACTACGTTGCATGATTATATCCGTCCATTTATGCAATTATTAATCTTATACTTATAATTATAATTATAATAAATAATAAATATACTATTTTGTTATTTTACATTATATAATAAATCATATTTGCTGCTATTATTGTTACTCATCATTTGTTTGTCTTGAACTCCCACAATTGAAGGACATACTCACATTTTAGTGATTATATTCTATATGAGTATGTTCCAAATCTATTAGTTACATTTAAATAGGAAGCCCAGTGAAAAATGCAACGGCCTACTCATAGTTTTATGGAAAACTACTTTCTTGGTGGTTAAATCATCCTATGCGATTTAAGGCGGAAAAACTGCTTTTTTAGAAGACTCTCTGTCTCTGAGTAAGCATCTTCCGAAATTGCCTGGTCTGATGTTGAAAGCAGTGTTGGTGAGAAGTACGCTGGACAAATATACTCTTGTAACATAAAGACCAAAACTTCCAAATCGCATTCAGTGCAATACAAACTTCCATCCAGTATTCTTCCTTTTTTCTAAACAACCTCTACTTGGGGTCCATAACTAGGCGTGGGCTTTGTGCGCTTTGCGAGTGAGGCAGATGCTCTACTAGCTATAGATGCGCTGCGCGCCAAGCAGATGACCCTGGTTGGTTGTCATGATCCCGTTGAAGCCAAATTCGCGGACAAGCATAACCCGGAGACCCGAAGACGGAGGCATGTGGCCGCCGTGGCAGCAGCCGCGGCAGCAGCAGCGGCTGCCGCCGCCGCTGCCTCTGCTACTGGATGCTGTCTGGTACCTGCCCCCACAGGCATCCCGGCATGTCGGGGCACCCTAGTGACAGCAAGTCCTGCCTCGTGTAGCTCACTTTCTGCCATGGCATTACAGCCAGTCGCCACCGGATTTCCAGCCCCACCGGCAGCACCCCACCTTGGCCAGCTCCCCTCCTCTCAGACGCCCGGAATGCTCGGGCTGCCGGGACACCTTCCCGAAAACCAATCTACCGGCCCATCTGCCTCGTTCGGTTTCTCTTCTCCTCTTAGCCTAGCCCAGTTTGTTTCCACATTCGGAGGCTTTCATGCGGGAATTGGGCAACCCTGTTTGGGCTATGGTAAGGTGTATTTCTTCTTTACACTCAAAATAATTGACATTAAAAAAATATGAGTCTATATATGTATTTATATATGAAATAATTTAAAAAAAGCTATTTATATAGATAAACATGTATATATATATATAATCAGAAATGATCAATCGAAAGTAGTAAGTTTCTATCATATGCTAACAATATTCTTTTACTATTAATTTATGCAGCCATGACTAAAAATCACTGGACAGTTCAATGTTTGCCCGATACTGAGATTCACTATGAGTACCTCTCAAAAATATTGGTGATTTTTTATTAAAACCACGGGTGCCCTAGACCGCCGAATCTGATTTAAAGACCGATAGTGAAGTTGGCCAGACTACGATAAGCATCACTTTTCTTTGCCCCCAAAAATATATTTTCTTATTTAGGCTAGAGAGCAGGTTGGATCAACATTCCCATAGGGATTAGCTATTAGGTCGTGAGTTTGGCGGAAAGATTACCACTTGACTAAACACCCATGAATGTATGTGAGTCACAAGTTAAAGATTGGACATTCGAGACAAATCCCGTGTTAGGCGGCATTAAAAAGCAAACAAACATGTATTTTCCATTGTAATAAGCGATGCTACTTATTTTCAGTATAAGTAGGTTACGTGACAATTATTAATTCTTGAATAAGAACTGTCATTCTGGATCGAATATGATGAGTTAAGGACTGAAAATTGAGTTTTTTCACAATCAAATTAGTATTCTTTACATTAGCATTGGCTTCACTTAGTCATACCTCCCATAAAGCTAAGTGATCCATAGTAAACTGTATTTTTGACCTTATTCTGGCCTCAGAGATGTCATCATAAGCATCGTGCGAAAAACTTCCATCAGCTAAGCAACCACGGACCCTAGTCCGTCACAATTCAGAGACGACTTTTATAGGAAGATTAGTCTCTCACAAATCACATTTTTAGGGGGGGTGGAGTACAGGCAAACTAGCATTTGCACTTCAAATAAACAGTGTTACTTAAAAAGGGTGTGAGTAGTCTTCAACCTATCATACTATCCAGGCCAGACTCATTGTAGAGGTGATTTGTGAGACTGCCTTCTAGGTAACATCTGACCAGACATTCGTCGGAACTTATACTATATCATATTGTTGGCATTGCTTCAGGATATGCACAAATCGGTTTCTTGCTCCCGTGAACCAGCTACGCCAGAGGCCCTGAAAAACATATATCACTTAAACTTTCGAAATAGTTTAGTAATGGGGACAGCGAAATCAGTAGCCTTTTGCGAAGCTTAATTCGAGACTATGTATGCCATACTTGTTTGATGCTAGACTAACACTTGGTAATTACGTCAATCTGTTGCCGCCTTCAACTTGTATCGTCTCCATTACACCCTATAGTAAGATCAATACTCGAGTCGTAACTGCGCAGAGAAAGTTGCATTAACTTGTTGTCTAACTATAGCTTTGTAAGAAGGTTGCCTCTCTAATCATCCATGAATTCAATATCTTGAAAGTAGAAGTTTGTACTAGCATGATACCGGTAGTTAATTAAAGTAAAAAGAAATTATGAGTTTTATCAATAGAGAAGAATCTGACCCGAGAAAAGGCCACACCATCTTGGTCTTCATATCTACAATTCTACCAATAGATTCTAAGATATATTAACATACAGAGGAATTCATGTTTGAGTACCTTTCATTACGCTTAAAGAGGCGAGTGGAAGTGATTCGTACGTTGGGATCACCTGAAGCTGTAGGGGGATTGCCGTGGAGGTGGAATAGTAGATTTGGGCGAATAGGTCCTTGGCACATCGCCATACGAACCTAATGAACCCTTGTTTAGCTTTCGTCTGTTGTGTGATGAACATT